CCGCCCTGCCCTCCGCCCTGCCCTCCCTCCCTCCCTCCCTCCCTCCCTCCCTCCCTCCGCCCTGCCCTCCCTCCATCCGTCCGTCCGTCCGTCCGTCCGTCCGTCCGCCCTGCCCTCCGCCACTTCTCCCTCTAATTTTCAAACTTTTAAAAACTAAAACTCATTTTTAAAATGGTTCAAACACGCCCAGGCGGACAATGCAGATCGTTCCCGGGCACGGAAGGGAAGCAAGGAGAGGGTAGGGAGAGAAGAGAGAGGAGAGAGGAGAGTGGAGAGAGGAGAGAGGAGAGAGAGGGACGACAGAGACGAGATGAGGGCAGGGGAGAGTTTGCAGGAGACGAAACAAGAAGAAACAAGACAAGACGAGACGTGAAGAGAAAGGAGAGTAGAGCAGAAGAAATGATGCGAGATGTCACGGAGAGTGGAGTGAGCGGAATGGAGAGAAAGGGGAGGAGAGAGGTTGAGAAACCATCTATGTACCTATCGTGCTGACTGTTGATGAAAGGACATGTTGCTAGCGGGACAGCTGCCGGTGGAACGCGAAATGGTCGACAAAGGCGTTCAAGTTCGACCCAAGGGAGCAAGCGTCAGTCCCAACCTCTGGGCCAACTGGACTGAGCAGGGAAGAGCGACTTTCCGTCCGCCATCGAGCGAAGTTGGTCGACCGACGTACTTCCTGGATGCGGAGGAAGCGGAGTCAAGGCTGCGACAGCTGCGGCAGGAACTGAACAGTGCGAACGAGGAGAGAGACGGCATGAGGGCAAAGGTTGTCAAGTACGAGAACAAGCTGAAGGAGAAGGACAAATTTCTGGCGCAGATCCTACAGAATCGAGTCCTGCACCTCCCGTCGAAGTTTGCGAGCATGGTGAAGGAGTGCCTGGCCAGTGACGTGCACAACCAGCTGGAGGAAGCAAAGATCACCATCGGTGAGCTGAAAGGAAAACTCAACATAGCGCAGCTGGGGAGAGAAAGCAGCATGGAGGAGAAGGCTCCTGTTGCGTCTCAGAAGAGCCCTGCCTCGAGTCCAAGGAAGAGCGCAAGGTCCACTCACAGGTACTGCCTCCTCCTCCTCCTCCTCCTGCTCCTCCTCCTCCTCCTCCTCCTCCTCCTCCTCCTCCTCCTCCTCCTCCTCCTCCTCCTCCTCCTCCTCCTCCTCCTCCTCCTCCTCCTCCTCCTCCTCCTCCTCCTCCTCCTCCATTGAGCTGATACTTGTATAGCATTCCAAGCACGCCCAAGTCGAAGCACACGACTAGTCAAAGTCAGGGAGACGCTCTGAACTCAGCCCGAGCAGAAATAGAACGACTTCAGAAGCTTGTTTCAGCGGGTGAAACGGTCAGGGAGGTATTGTTGTCAAAATATCTCCTCTCTCTTCCCCTCTTCCCCTCTCCCTTCTTCTCTCTCCTCCCCTCCCTTCCTCCCTCCCTTCACAACCGTTTCAGTGACAGCAAGAACTACCGCAGAGCCTTGAAAAGCGCATCCTGGAGCTAGAGAGGGAACTCATGAAGGAGCGGGGGAGGATGAGGAGGACGAGTTACGAGGGTGGAGAACCTCTTTCGGTTCTCTTTCGGACGGGGGAGGAGGAGTTGCTGACCAAGTCGCAGGAAGAAGCAATCCTGCAGGAGGAGGAGGAGCCGACGGCCAACCTCTTCACTTCTGTACATGTGCCGGACAAGAGGCCTCAGGGCTCTGACGCCTCCTGGGACAGGACGGGCCTGAGTTCGAGAACTACATCCGGAAGCTCGCTGGACTCCCTCCGATCCAGACTGATGGCGACAAGAACAAGGTGCGAGACTTGGAGAGGCGGCGGCCGTTGAGAGGTTGACTAGGCCTCCGTCAACGTGGCCCCGAAGCCCAACCACAAGACCAGCCACTCCAAGACGAGCAAGGCCGGAGCTCGTGAGATGCTCATGTACGAAGTCGTCGTGCAGACCGGAAGCCAGCCAGGATCAGGGACGAGCGCTAACTGCTTCATCACACTCTGCGGCGACAAGGGCGAGTACGGGCCCTGCTCGCTGGACAGGAACGTGGCCAAGTCGTCGACTGGGGAAGTGCTGGGAACGAACTCCAAGGACACGTTCGACATCGCCTGCCTTGACGTCGGGAAGCTGAGCTCAATCATCCTCAGCCACGACAACTCTGGGGAGAGCCCGGACTGGTTTGTGAACCTCGTCACAGTGAGGAGGGCGAAGAGGGATAAGGATAACCACCGGGTGTACGACCTGTGGTATGATGACTGGATATCGATGGACAAGGGGTCCAAGTCGTTGAACGCCCACCTCCTCTGTACGTCCACCTCCCAGACCAAACACGCCGAGAGCAGGAGGAGCGTCGCTCCGAGCGCACAGAAGCACACCATGGCGACCAGGAGGTCACAGGAGATCAACAGGATGATGGTCGCCAAGGCTTGCAAGAGCACCTTCACAGCAGTCGAAGAGATTCATCGGCCCAGCAAGGTCGCCAGGCTTGACAGCGGCCATGGTCTTGTCGCCTATGCCAAGGAGCTGGGATGTGCGAGTGTGCAAACGCCCCCATCCTGCAGGTACGACCTGCTGATGTCATCGGCCGACTCCAGAGTGAACCTCATGGCAGAAACCTCCACGTTCTGCTCGTCGGGGCGAGGGAGAGCTGCGTCAAGTTCCTCCAGTGGTACGGATCCTGCAAGGTGAACAGTGGGGCAAGGAGAGCATGGAGGCGTGTGCCCTGACGGCTGCATGCTATCTGCAGCTGCAGAACACAGGGAGCGGATCGGAAACCAACTTCACCCTAGCGAGGGCGACAAAGGGGGGGGAGTCGGCAGCTGCGAGTTGCCTTCATCGGGGGGAGGAGGCGTTCAACGCTGCCCCGACGCTCATGACCATGTCGGCGATCCGAGGCCTTGAGGATGCTTTCTGTGTCGACGAGGTTGTCACTGCAGAGGCGAGGTTTGCTCAGGTATGCCTCCCCACGTCCCTAACACTTCTCGCTCTCTTTTTCTGCTCATTGCCCCCCGTCTGCCTCCTCCTTCTCCCTCGTTCTGTCTTGTCCGTCTCGCCCGCTCTGCTCCTCCCTGTCCTCCCGCTCCTCCTCCTCGATCTCAGTCAGTGCTTGCAGATCAACTTCGTCTACCCTCCTGCCATCCATGGCACTGCACCGGCGGACTTCCTGCCTGGCGACCAAGTCAGCAGCCTGTTGGCACAGGCTCGAGCCGCGCTGCAAGGGAAAGTGAACGCGCTCAGAGACGCGCTGAGGGCCAAGGACAGAGACAGGACGGGGGAGGTAGGGAGGGAGGACTGGATCTCAGCTATCAGGTGTGCCAAGTGAAGTCGACTGTCTGTTCCATTGCTGACTTGTGGAGGAAAGTTCTCTAAACGTGGATCTCCCTGCTGCCAAGGCTGAGCAGCTCTTCAACGCTGTTGACGTCTGCGGTGGAGGCTCCATAGAGTACCAGCCCCTGCTCGATACCATCGACAGCCTGCAAAAGAGCTACAGCTACGACCTTGACCAGGTGAGAACGTGTGCCCCGTCGGCCTGTCTGTACTGATAGTCTCCTCCTCCTCCTCCTCCTCCTCCTCCTCCTCCTCCTCCTCCTCCTCCTCTCCTCCTCCTCCTCCTCCTCCTCCTCCTCCTCCTCCTCCTCCTCCTCCTCCTCCTCCTCCTCCTCCTTATTCTCTTCCTCCTTGTCCTCCTACTCCATCATCCTCCTCTTCCTCTCCAGGCATTCGAGACCTGCGCACAGCATTGCGACTTGATCATCGGCATCACGGACCCCAAGTCTCTGCACTACAACTTGAGGGAGCTTCACGTGCTGTCGAGGCTGTGGAGGAAGTTCTCTCACAAGATGGAGATCAACTGCCTCTTCCAACCTGACACGTACCAGGACACCAAGAACTTGACTAGGCTCATGTTTGGTGAGGCTCCTCCTTCCTCGTCCTCCATCCTTCTTGTCCTCCTCCTCCTTGTCCTCCTACTCCATCCTCTTCCACCACCACCACCGCCTCCTCGTCCTCCTCCTCTTTACCCTCCTCCTCATCGCCTCCTCTGAGTTGCCTGCAGCCGTCCAAGGGCGACTTGAACGGGCGTTGGAGCTGACGGAGGGAGATCTTGACCTGAGAGGGTTCTACCTGCCGAACGCGGGGGAGGAGTACGACGACGAGGTGAGGGAAGGATGAAGATGGCGGAGATGATGGTAGAGATGGGAATGACGATGATGGTGATGATGGTGATGATGATGTTGGAGGAGGTGTGTTATAGGTGATTATGGAGATGAAGGGGACAGTGATAATGATGATACTGATGATGGCACTGACGAGAGGATAATGCTGATGCTGAAGAAGACGTTGGTGATAACGATGGAGATGATGATGATGAAGATAGAAGTGATGATGACGGAGATGATGATGATGACAACGACGACGGCGGCGGCGACGGGGGCTGCTGCCGTGCTCGTCGTCGTCTGACTCAGGGCAGATGGTGGTAGAGAACCGGCTCGACGACATTCTGCGCGCCATCCTCGACTCCTTCGTCACCCTCGAGAACGACTGCGTGAGCGCGACACACGACAACCTCAAAGCACTGCTGGACTCCCTCTGGGGGCAGGAGGACAAGACCCTGTACACCAGCGTGCGGGACAGGATGGTGGACTGGCTTCAGGCCTGGCAGGATGGGATTGGGAGGAGGAAGAGCCCTGCCATGAATCGTCTGCTCGACATCTGCAAGCTCTCGATCAAGGACCTCCGGAGAGGCTTCGTCGTCGTCGAGGACGTGGAGGGCTGGACTCCGGCACAGGTGAGAAGTTCGCTCCCCCGTCTCCCTCCTCCTCGTCAGCTGGGCCTTCAGGTGGCAAAATGGCTACAGAGCTGCAACTCTTCGTTCGAGCAGTACGCCAAGAACTTCCTCGAGGAGCGGGCAAGTGGAGAGAGGAGGAGGAGGAGGAGGAGGAGACTGATCCCTGCTGGCAGGTGACGGGGATGCGGCTGTTCGAACTCAGCGAGGAGGAGATGAAGAGGAAGCTCGGGGTCGCGTCGCTGGGGCATCGGAAGGAGATCGTCAAGCACGTGCAGAAGCTCTTCAGCGGGAGGAAGAACTGGCTCAAGCACTGACAGGGTCGAGCGGCGCCCGGGCCTGTAGTTTCTCTATGTGAATCGTTAAAGTTAAGTGACATGTCATAGCCCCTCCCAGCTGCAGCCCAGCATAATAAGTTGGCCACCTGTTGGCCACCTGGCTTGGCACTGCCAGCTGCAGGGCACAGGGCTACCAACTGATGTGCCGCAACACTGAGTGAGTGCCGCAACATGGCCAGTGGCCCCAGCAGTGGCCCCAGCAGTGGCCCCAGCAGTGGCCCCAGCAGCTGCCAGCAGCAGTGCCAGCAGCAGTGCCAGCAGTGGCCCAGAGACAACTCCGGTCTACCAACTGCTGTGGTACACAGTTTGTGTGTGGGATGGGATCTATGGGGTGCGCTGCCATGCTGGTCGTCCTCCTCAGCAGCGCTGCTCGTCCCTCCTCTCAGTTCTCTCTCCCTCCTCCTGCCAGCAACACCAGCCCTCCCTCCCAAGCAAGCTTGACTAGGCCTCCCTCCCTCCCTCTCCGGACTACCGCACACTCTGCACGCCCTCCCCCTGCTGCCTTGACATGCGCGGCTGATGAAGCGGCGATGGAGTGCTGGTCTTCAGCCCAGGGCGACGTGCACGCGATCGGAGTGAACGAGAGCGAGTTCAGACTCTTCCGCGAGTACATGGCGCTTGAGGATGCGGATCGGAGCGCTGCATCGTGAGGAGAGGCGAGAGGATTCGGTGCAACTGAAGTCCGATCACAGGCTCATGGGCTCGAATGTGGACATACTGGACACGGGCAGCCTGGAGACGAGACGGCTGTTGAGGCAGCGATGGCTCCGTCGGAGCCTCCTGCTTCGCGTGCCGGTGCGGCGCAGAGCTTCGTAGCTGCAGCAGCTTACTCCGGCATGTCCAGGTTCCATCGGACATTCTTTCAGATGAGCCCGGGCTGAAAACTCAAACGAAGGAGTACGTGGATGTAAGAACGACACACGTCAAGTCTGTCAGACGTGTTGACATCATGTGAACCGATGAAGAGGCTGTTGAAGATTTTCGCTCACGATCGCATGACGGGTGAATGATTCTAACAACACTGATGAAGACTGAATGATCAGACAGGGGAGCATCTTCTTGAATGGTTGAGAAGCAACTATGGTAGAGATGAAGTAGAGGTCTGCACTTGAGAGTAGGATTGTGTGATAGCCTGACTCGTTGGAAGGAGTTGCTCCAAGCCAGGAACCTGTCGAAGGAGGGTTTGCGAACTACATTGCAGCCGTTCTTGAACTGGTCCGACACTCTCCTTGCATGCAGAGATGGTGTTCGTTAGGTTGGAACAGGTTCAAAGAAAATTTCCCATACTATCGGGGGTCTTGTCTTCGATGCAATCATGGCGATACAACATACCTCGGTATCAGATACCTCAATCTCGTGGAATGTTGAAGAACGTATCGAGACTAATTGTTTGCTTGCAAGGTATCGTTGCACCAGATGGGAATGAGTCTCATTTTCAAGCACTCAAGACCGAGATCTGGCATTGCCCACAGTGCAAAAGGTGAGCTGATCCTTGTTTCGGCCTGTCTTGGTTCAGTTCTCCCTTGTGACAACTCAACAGCTTCTATCGGTTTCCTCGATACAATACGATCAGAAACGTGCGAGCACAGCAAGATCGCTTTCCATGCTCCTTCTCACGTGTAGATCCAGGTTCTCTCCTCTAGACTGGGGAGATGCTCCGAGTACAGCATGGCGATGTATCATATCATGAGATCTCTGCACTTTCCTACCAGGTAGTCGAGGAAACTAGTTCTGCCAGCAGATACGACGTGACAAGTTTCCTTCAGGCTGGTGGTTGACTGGGCAGATCATCTGTGGGTGGAGGTAGAGCCTTCAGTCGAGCTGCGAGCTCCTGTCTGCTTGACGTGATCGTTAGGTCCTCTCGCGAGACGAGTGGATTCACATCGATCCTTGCGAGGCGGCTTTCGACAACAAGGTGAACGGGCCAGGCGGGGCTGAGCTGAACCTTGAGCGCTCGTGGCAGTCCATGTACTTCGGCTGGGGGAAGAATCACACCTACATCTTCGCGTTCAGCAAGTGGGTCTCCTCTCCACTCCCTCCTTGGCCTGCTGGCCTGCACAGTTGACCGACTGCTGGCGCAGCGACGCTTGCGAGGATGTGACTGGAAACTACGTCAAGGATTTGGATGAGGTGCAGGATAGTCCGGGGCCTGCTCCTCTACCTGACTCATCCTGCCTTGTTCGCCCGTCAGGTGGTAGCAAGAAGAGGAAGGTCTGTTGATGAGGTCCAGGTGGTACTGCAGGAAGTGCAGGTGACTGGTTCTGCCGTTGCACCATCTTTAACCTGCTGACCCGTCCCATCCAATGCAGAGCTATCTGAGAAGTGAACAAGGCTGAGGGGGTGAAGCTTTCTTAGATACCGTTTACTTGCACGCGCTGCCAGGACAGTGATGTTTGACTCAGTGAGTAAAGGTTGATCTTGCACTAGCGGCGCCGGGACCCTCGGCCCGACTCCGACAGTTCCGAACTTCGGAACTCGGAAGTTCATCTTGAACCCGGGCCGGGCCCGCGTCGGGCCCGTGGGCTGTAAAGGAAAAAAAGAGCACTGGGTGAGGAAGAAAATATCCTGTAAAGGAAAAAAGAAAATTCAAAATTTTAACGCTGTTCTTTCATAATTAAGATTAAATTATTTCATTTCAAATCTAAAATTAGCAATATATGCACAAATGAAAAATAATAGAGTTAAAAATGAACAATATTTAATCTTAAAACAGTTCTAGTGCTAATCCTACCGCATAGGTTTCCACCCCGTGTCTCCATGCTCTTACGGGCGGCGCTGGCCGCGGCGCTGGCGGCATGCGGCGCTGGCTGGACGTCCGTGCCGATGAGCAGGGGAGGAGGAGGAAGAGAGATAGGCGGAAGCCGAGGATCAGCATGCTCAGGAAGTTTCGGGGGTCCTTCTGGGAACTTTCAATGCAGGGTCGGAAGGGATTCGGGTATGGGTGGAACAGCATGGGGGATGACGCCTCCTCTTCTTGCAAGGAGGAAGGAGATGGAGTTCAATGCGCACACCAGACGGCTACCTCAGCAGTTCCCAAGGAGGAGCCTGCTGACGCTGGACATGAGACTGAGGCGCGCAGAGCAGTGGCGCGAGAAAGGAGCGGTATTCGCCATGAGAATTTCCAGTTGGCGAGGATTAACAAGGTCGGGCAGGTTCGCAGGGAAGGCGAGGAATGGAAGAAACAGCCAGTTCCCATCCTTCTCCTCAAACAGGTGAGGCTTCCTTCTTCATCCCCCTTCCCTCCCTTTCATGCAGAGCCGATCCCCAGTTGTAGCCCCCTCCCCGAGTGAAGTTGACTGACAAGCTGTCGTCAGTCGTTCAGGTTGTTGGTCTGGAGTTTCTTCCTTTCTTGGATGTTTGAGCTGAGCAAGAGGCTCGTGATGATGGGAGGAGATGTCCTTTCGTGGACTTCTGCTGCTAGCGCCCAAGTGACCGACCTCTCCCATCCCCCTCAAGACCCCTCCTGACTCTTTCCTTCTTAGGGAGGGTTCCCAATCCTTGTCCAGAAGAATCTCGAGCTGATGACTGCAAACTTCGCGTCACTGTCGGCGATTCCACCTTTCATGCAAGGGGTTAGATCCTCGCCTCGCATCTTCCTGACCTCCTCCCCATCTCAACTTCACTTTTCTCTGTTTCTCCTCCTCTCTCTCCTTCTTCTTCCCTGCTCCCTGCTCCCTGCTCCCTCCTTTCCTCTCCCTCCGCTCTCCTCTGTCCTCCCTACTCCCTACTCCCTACTCCATCCTCCCTTATCTATACTCTCTTAACTCGGTCTGACTTTTGTTGTAGATGGTGCTCACGATGCAGTCATGGAACTTGCCTCTGGTTTACCATCCTGTTATGTTCCTCATTGCAACTATCAAGGTAAGACATTCACCCCCTTCCTGCTTCCTGATGAGCGTGTAGACGGCCCTTGCAGCTTGTTTCATCGTCCTGAAAGGAATCTTCGCCTTCATCGTCTGCAGGTACATCCTGCTGTTCGCAGAATGCTTGCTTTTATTGCCAAGAATGGATGGAGGAATACAGTGAAGTTGATGAGAGATTACGATTTCCAGCCTCCAAGACGCCGGAGGGAACCTGATCTTCATCGGACTCCAGCTGCAGAAGGTTTTATTCATCATCGCCACTTGGGTGAGGGAGGGGAGGGGGGAGGAGAAAGATGGGTCAGTAAGTGAAGGAGGGAGGCAACGAGGAGGAGGAGGAGGAGGATCAAGAGGAGGAGGATGGAGATCTAGTTGATACGTTGACCGACAGATGTTGGGGATCGCCAGCCAGTTCTTCCTCTCGGACTCTATTTGCCTGGTGAGGTTAGCGAGCTGGATGTGAACATGCAAAGGAGGGAGAGGCCAAGGAGGAACAAGAGAAGGAGAAGAAGGAAGTGCAGGAGCAGGTTGAGCAGGAGCAGGAGCAGGTTGAGCAGGAGCAGGAGCAGGAGCAGGAGCGGCAGCAGGAGCGGGAGCAGGAGGATATAGTGGGGGTTGGGGAACGGGTTGGGGGAACGAACGAACATTCACCTCTCCTTCGCAGTCGATCTTTCGCAGAGACTTTGTCTTCTACTTCATCACTACCCTCGTGCTAAGGAGGATGGCCCTGTTCTATCAGAATTATGAGGACTGGGATGCAACGCAATCGCGCATGGTAAGGACTCCTGGTCAACCCCCATTCTCCGTCCTCCTCCTCTCTCTCCCTTCTCCCCAACCTCCTGCCACCATCACCTCGTTTCTTCTTTCCTGTTTCTTGCACGCTAATTGACTTCTTTCCCCTCGTTCGTTTCGTCCTGCAGCAGCTCTCACAGCCGTTCAAAGGAGTTCCGCGTACGGACTCGATCACAGGGAAGGGGTTCTGGGAGGTGCTATCCTCCTCCTCCTGGATCTTTACTGCCATCGGTTTCATCCTCCCCTTCCTCCCTATCGCGCTCGCTGCTGGCACGGGAGGAGAGTGGCAGCTTGTCGCCTCCATCTTCGCTCCATACTTCCTCGGCGTCGGTGAACGACCCCCCGTCCATTCCCTCCCGCTTTCCTCCTCCTCCTCCTCCTCCTCCTCCTCCTCCTCCTCCTCCTCCTCCTCCTCCTCCCTCATATACCTGTCTTGTCTTTCCTATCTCACGTTCTCCATCCCTCCTGCTTTTCTCTCATGCGTCCTCTCCTCTCCCTCTCTCCCTCTCTTATCTTCTCGTCAGGCCTCGAGCTCGGGACAGTCGACCTCCTCCGAGACAAGCTCAAATCGCCTGCATGGTCCTCGTCCTTGTCCCATCCTGTCTCCTTCTTCCCTCGCTTCCGCCTCTCCTCGTTCAACTCCCTTTACGATTCTCTCTCCTGGTCTCACCCTCCTCTCCCATCCTCCTCCCTCTCCTTCTCCTTCCTCCTTCTTTCTCTTCTCCTCCTGACTCTCCTTCCTAGGGTCGCCGTGATTCTCCCCTACTCCATCTGGCGCATCTTGCAGCTCAGCTTTATCAACACGCACCTCGAGTCTGCCCTGGTCCTCCTCGCTCCCTCTCCTCTCTTCCTCTTCTCTCCTCCTCCTGCCCTCATCGCCGCGGCTATCAACACTCCTGCCCTGCTCTCCGGTTCGTCCCCTCGATGCTGATGCTGATGCTAGTGCTGAGGCGTGGCAGGCGTGTGGCTGGCGAGACTTTGCGTGCACATCTCCGACATCCCATCCTTCTTCGCGTGGAAGAGGAAGCCGACGGCTAAGTGAGAGGAGGAGGAGGAGGAGGAGGAGGAGGAGGAGGAGGAGGAGGAGGAGGAGGAGGAGGAGGAGGAGGAGGTGACGTCAGCGCAGGGACCGAGAGATGGTCTTGAAGTGGCGACAAGAGGTGGAGGAGCTCAAGGATGAAGTCGAAGGGCTGAAGGAGAATGGCTGA